AATATCACAGATTATGAGATTTTGAAAAGGAATTGTAAAGTTTTTAAAAAGATTTGGTGATTTCACAATATTTCATCTATGTAATTTTTTAAAAAAAAATGGCAACAATCCCAGTTACCATATGCAGTCTCACCATTCAGCTTCATTTAAATATTTCTAGCAAAGGAGAATCTACCACTTTTCAAGGCTGGCTGTTTTGTATTGGACAGATGTTACCATCACGAAATTTCACCCGATGTCCAACCAAAATCATCTTCCTTGTTATATAAAAACTTTGCTGTGGTCCTGCCTTCCTTTTAGATATTGGGAGAGAGATATCTCCCTCCTCACAGACATCTCCAAACTAAACATACCCAACGTTTCCAATCATTCATCATAATTATTTTTCTTCCAGGGTTCTCTTATCATTTTGATTGCTCTTTTCTGGACAAGCTTCAGTTTGACAATGTCCTTCCTAAAATTGGACTCAGTATTCTAGATGTGGATTGACCAATTCAGAATAGAGACAAATGATGGCATTGCCACAGCTGAGGCAAATAATATTTTCCATCATGAGTTTAACCTTCTCATGAAGCTCATGCTTTAGAACAGGGGTGTCAAACTGCCGGCCCACAGGGCAGTTTCATCATACTGAAGCCACACCCACCCCATTGCCGGCAATGCAAAAAGAGTTTGACACCTATGCTTTAGAAGTCCTTGGAATCTAATGTAATGAATTCAGTGATCAGCACATACTGTTACTTCAGCTTTCTCTAGAGTCCAACTAGAGTCCTCCAGCTAGCTGGACTCGGCCCACTGGGAACAAAGGAGCAGTCCAACACTTCTAGAAGGCTTCCAGTTGGGGAAGCCCAAAATGCAATGCCTCTCCAAATTTTCAGGAGTTAGCCTTGTTGATGTAGAGATGTCAAGAGATTCAACTCAGAAGCCTTAGTATGCAAAGCATGTCCTCTTCCATTGAGCCACAGCCTTTACAATTGTTTCTGTTCATCTCCTCTGCATACTTGCATGGATATACGTACAGCGATAAAATAATTCCCCTGTGGAGATCTTAAAGCTACAGAGCTTATTTAGAGTTTATGCTTGACCTGCATTCCTTCCATATTCATAGACACTCCTTTTATTTTAATTGTTTTCTCACACATCCTGCAAAGACCCTACCTTTCTTTAATTCAATTTAATTTAATTTTAAAGAAGCAATGAGCTATCTGGAAAATGTTTCACTGAAATGTTATTTCTCTGCCCCAGGCAATATGAGCACTAATGAACACCACATTGAAGATTAAGGCCAAATTAACTGAGACATTATCTCTCCAAATATCAAGCAAGTGACCACGAACTAACACAAAAAACAAAGTGGAAAAAATTAATTCAGAAAGTTAATAAGAAAAGTGATATAATCAAAGAGAGACAATGAAAAAATCTTTGCTGCAGCCTCAAAGAAAAGATAACAAAGATTTCCTCTCCCCTCTTCTACCACAACTCACTCTTTGCCAGCTGCCTCATATAGAGGCACCTAGGAGATTTATCTGTAAAGACTAGTCCTGCTCTACCTACTACAGGTAGTCCTCAACATACGACCACAATGGAGCCCAAAATTTCCATTGCTAAGCAAGACAGTTGTTAAGTGCATTTTTCCCCATTTCGCGACCTTTTGCCACAGATGTTAAGTTGCAGTTGTTAAATTAGTAGTTGTTAAGTTAGTAACATGGTTGTTAAGTGAATCTGGCTCCCCCCCCCGTTTGTCAGAAGGTCACAAAAGATGATCACATGACCCTGGGACACTGCAGCTGTCATAAATACAGCCCAGTTGCCAAGTGTTGGAATTTTGAGAACATGCCCATGGGGACGCTGCAACAGTTATAGGTGTGAAAAACAGCCATAAGTCACTTTTTTCAGTGCCGTTGTAACTGTCATGGTCCGACAGATGAAACTCTTCAAAAGAACTTTGAGATTGTTTACCTTAAAGCAGTGTTTCTCAACCTTGACAATTTTAAGGCATGTGGACTTCAACTCCCAGAATTCCATAGCCAGCAATGCTGGCTGTGGAATTCTGGGAGTTGAAGTCCACATGCCTTAAAATTGTCAAGGTTGAGAAACACTGTCTTAAAGGATCTTTTATTCGAGTAGCATAATATCGGCATTACATAATCGAAGCCAAAAACTGAATTCCCCTCCCCTGGGCACATAGTATCAAAGCACAATTCCCTCCTCCAATTAACAGTCATAAATCACATTCCCCAATTAGCTTAAAGTGTGGGCTTCCTCTCCAGCTCTCCATCCCGCCAATTCTTTATCAGCTCTGGGCTCAATAACCTTGATTCTCATGCTAAGTTTAGTGTTGTTATGTCTAGCTGGACTCTCATTCACATCCCACCCCCTCCCAGCATCATCTAACTCTAAAAGCAAAAGGGAAAAGATGGCTACATTTCCATCTGTTGTCAATGCAAAAACATCCGATGTTAGCAGCGTTGACACGTCACTAAACAAATGGTTTTAAGTCCAGGTCTACCTGTGCTCTAGCAGCAGCTGTCTGTATTCTAAGGCAGAAAGAAAAACTTCCCATCACCTACCACCTGAATCCTGACCTGGAGTTGCAGAGAAATCCACATTCATTCAGGTCCGGCTCATTCTTGATGCTATCTCTTTACCATTAACATTTCTTAGGCAACCCAGTCCCACTGCATTCAATTTTATCCTTCTCCTGGCATACACAAGCCTCATGTGCACATAACAAGCAGGATGGAAATGCTGTCTTATATGCAGCCATTTTCACTTCTTTTTCATTCTTGGCAACATGCCACATGCTACCTGTTCCTTTCTATCAGCACTTGCACATGTTAAGCTTTTTCCATCAGTTTTCCCATCTTTAGTAAATATTCCACCAAGATATATACATCAATTGATTTACTCCAATTTCCACCATTTAAGTATAATTTGAAGTCTTTCATTTCCCTATGATTGATGCATTTCCCTTGATCTTTGATGCATTATGTCATGGTTCCGACAGATGAAACTCTTCAAAGAACTTCGAGGCATTGTTTACCTTAAAGAATCTTTATTGGAGAAGCATAACATTGGCACTAACATAATCAAAGCCAAAAACTAAATCCCCCCCCCTTGAGCACATAGTATCAAAGCACAATTCCCTCCTCCAATTAACAGTCATAAATCACATTCCCCAATTCCGTGGGCTTTCCCTCCAACTCTCCAGCCCGCCAATTCTTATCATCTCTTATTTCAACAACCTTGGTTCTCATGCTAGGTTCAGTGTTATTATGTCTAGCTGACCTCTCATGCACATCCCCCCCTCCCCAGCATCATCTAACTCTAAAAGCGAAAAGAAGAAAATGGCTACATCCCCATCTGTTGTCAAAGCAAAAACATCCGATGTTAGCAGTGTTGACACATTAATTTTCAGATCTCTTCTTCTCGTTGCATTATGCAGCCTGTCCAACACTTGCTGCAATTCATTTAGACACTCAACCAGCGATGTGGCATCACCTGCATGTAAAATTACATGTATAGGCATGCCTCTAACCAACACAGCTCTTCATCATCACATTCTTTAATTATTTTTAGTTATTCCCTTACAACTGAACATGTCGCTAAGCTTTCCATTGACTGTCACCTGCTTTATTTCTATTGCATATCACTTTTATTGCATTCTGCAAGAAACTTTCAGTTCTATACTTGTGCAAAATGTTCAACGATCAAAACATATTCACTGCTTGCTTTCTCAGATGTAAACATTTCTTTACTACCTTCTGAAGAGTGAAATGTGGTCTGGATATTCTGTCCGGCTTAAACCTAAATTGTACTTCACAGATTTTGTTCACTGTCATCACTTACATCTTTTTCATCAGAGTTCTAACAAATGTCTTTCCAGGCACTTTTAAACTAATCCCCCTGTAGTTTAGGTAATTCACTTTTGCTGCCATTTCTTTTTAGAGTGGAACAATATTAACATACTTCTAATCATCACCCACACATGAACTCTTCACACACATTAAATAAGTCACATAACCACTATGCAAAAGCAAATTGACATCCATATTTCTCCAATAACATTTGTGTATCTCAGCAATGACAGCCACTGATGTGCGATTGATATAGTTAAATATTATTATTCAAATTTATCCCATATCATTTCATCGCTGTTATTTTTAATACCAGTCACTCTATCAGAGAGTTGTTTCTCCTTTTGCTAGCTTCCCAGATGGTGCTTATTCTTTTCAAAAACATTCTGCATCTCCTCTGTCCCTTTTAATTCTAACTATTCCTTCTTCTTTTTGACTACGTTGTTTGCAATTAATCTTTTCTCTCTATTTCATATACAATATCCTTGTTTTTTTGCTAAACCATCCTCTTATAAGTATTTTGTCATCTACAGTTTCTTTGCTTCATCATATTACCTAGCATCCATTTTCATATCTCCCATTATCACAATTCCACACAGTTCTATGGCACTCTATAATCTGCTTATTTTCAATCTCTTCCAAACAGCCATCATATCTTCTTTTCTTATTTGCATATTCCATTGACTATCCGGGGAGATAATCTGTTCTCTAGTTCTTTTTCCATAAATAAGTCATAGTTTTTCTTCTCTCAGTGTTCCTACTCCCACTCTAATTTCTTTCACTCTTTTTCCCTTTTCTTCCATGCCCCCTTTTTCCTCCCAAGATGCACTTTTTGCTTTATGAAATAGCAATTTGTCCCACGTTCCAAACTACTCTTTCTCCTTCATTAATTTTCTCAGTCTTTAATCCTAAACAATCAAATTGTGCTTTTAAATTACTCCCTTTTCCACATATGGTTGTGAAACAAGCCTTTATGGACCAGTAATTAGAATGAAGAGAGAAAAATCAGTAAATATACTATAAAACTAAACAATTGGTGCTTTGATGGGTCTATTATAACAGAAAGGGGCATTATGACATCATGGAGATTGAAGATTCCATAATGTTGTTAATGTTGTTAGATAGAGATGTTAACACAAGCAGGTGGATAAGTAAGACAGGAATCCGGGACCATGAAAATCACGTTTATCCATCCATAATTCCCATGCCTACAGCACCAGGAGGCGGGGGATGAAGGTTATACAGACTACAGATCTGGTGAATCAGCTCCTATGGAGCTGGTTTCAAACAGCCCAGTAAGTTATAAAACCAGAATTCCCACCAACTCACCTACTGATAAAGTGTGTATTTTAATATGATTGGGAATGACCAATTTACAGTTTTTGTCATGGATCAAAAAACCTTATTTTGCTTTTTGTTTTGATTGATGAATCCTAAACTTATACTAATTGAGAACTTGATATCCGAATCCCGAAGTCTGTTCACCACTGCAGTAAGTCATTTCTGCACCAAATCAGAGCTAATCAAATACTTATTTTCCACAGAGAAACCATTACACTCCTGTTGCAATTTGCAGAATACCAAGCCCAGAGGTTATTTCAACATCTTTCCAATAACCGCCTACTGCAATTGATTCCATGTTGGAGATGCTTTTTCAGGTGGGAACCTCTAGGACAGGGGTGTCAAACTCAATTTCATTGAGGGCTGAATCAGCATTGCGGTTGCCCTCTGGGGGCTGGGTGGATGTGGCCAGGGTGGGTGCGGCCTACTGGGTGGGCATGGCCAGCTCTACATTGTTCACGTCAAGGGGGCCTGTGGGGGCCTGGACAGGAGTGGGACAGATCTGAGGGTCTCTGGCAGAAGGAGGTGGCACCAGGGCAAGTGCCAAGGCATGGTCCACTTGAGGAACCTCACCGTTCCTCTCAGGCCATGTGGGGGGGGGGGGGCTGGATAGTGGTGCGGGCTGCCCGGAGCCCTGGGCAGCAGAGGTCAAATGCCCAACCTGGCCCTCGAGCACCCGCGGCATCAAGCCCAGCCCCACTTCCCCAAGGGGGCGCCCAGCTGCACTTACCTATTCCTCAAGGCTGCTGCTGCTGTGCTTGCTCTCCTTAGCCAGGTTACTCATGATGGGTACCAGGGTAAAGTCAGAGGGAGGCCCATTCCATCTCCATGGGAGAAGACCCGGCTTTGTATCCAAAGCTTCCTAAGCAATAGGATGGGAAATCCCAGGATAGGCCAGGAGGAGGGGGCAAGGGGATGGTAAAAGGGCAGCAGGACCGGACTAAGGCAGGACTTCCCTCAGACCCTCCTGTTAAGTTCTCGAGTTAATGGCGGAAGAAGGGCACGCATTCTGTATCCAACAACTGTTTATCTTTCTGCTGCTCACTCCAACACAACTCAGAGGCTCGCAGGCCTCTCTCACATTAAATAGATCCCCGGGCAAAACGGTTACAATAGAAAATGACGCGCTTTCACGCCTTGCGCATGCGCGCAGGCTGGCGCCGCTTAGTCTGGTCCCGGGCAGCTTTCAACAGCCCGGGACCATAGCAACGTCCCGAGCCTGCTTTTGCAGGCTCAGGACACAACACCCCTTCCCCCCGGATAAAACTTAACCAATCTATACAGATATAGATATAAGTGACCTCCCTGAAGGGACATGGTATTTTACCCAGCATTGAAATGCATGGACTGTGGATGTTATTACATTATCACACTTCTGTATGGTACCGTGCTAACGTTTTGGAAATACATGCCTAACACACACAATTCCAAATCTACCATGCAGTAGGTATATCTGCCTTAGTTTCCCTTAGCTTGACAGCAACTTCACATATTCTTTAAGGTATTTAGGAGGGTGTTTAATCCGCTGCGACCTCCTTGGATCTTGGGAACACCCTTGATTTTCGTGTCGGGTTACCCCCTCTTTGTTGCCCTGGGGGTCCCCGTGACCTGGGTTCTGGTGCCTGGTCTGCTTGCTCGCCCACCGGGCTTGGCAGACCAGGACTTTGTCCCTCCCCATACCTGGTTGATCTGCCTGAGTGTAGGCTGTCTGGACCCTCTGAGTCCCACCCAGTATTTTGTGGGTTTGTGGTATTCTCCAGGTCCACAATAGATCCATCTTGGGAACACAATCCCTCACTCCCAAACCCAGTAGATGGGTTGTCTGGGGTCTCTGAGGTGCCCCAATACCCTAATTCCCCCCATTCAGTGCCGGAGGTACCAGAATCAGGATTTGCCTCTCTGACTACCCCCTTTTTTTACTGATTTCCTTCTGGGAGCAATTGCAGCATTTGGCCAGTTTCTTTGAGTGGATGCCAGTTCTTTAGTAGGGTTTGGGTTGTTTGGATGCTCCCGGTTAGTCTCCCTGTCTGGAGTGCTGTATTGAGTTTGTGAATAGTGTGGGTACCCCCTGGGTGACTCCTTGGCTGGAGTAAGTAGTGGTGTGTGCCTTGTTCCTTGTTCCCATGAATTCCTGTTGGGCACACTTGCGGAACCTTGGGAGGGGCCTTCCCCTGCCTCTTCATTTACCCCCGGTTGCTGACAACGACCTTCCCTTTGCATACTATAACCCCCTTCCCCCCAGAGAAAACCCAGGAGTGGAAGAGGAAGAGTTCAGTCTCGTACGCAGCTGATCAATGTGCTGCCGGAGAACGCGGCCGTCGTCCAAGGACACCTCGTAAGACAGCGGTCGAGACCTTGCAGACCACAGCTGGAATCCAAAGATGACCGGGCCCATAGTTCTGGGTCCAAACCAGAGAGCCCACTTGCAAACACCTTGGTGCCCGTGGCTGTGACACCATAGGTGCCACCCTGTCAGGATGCAACCTGTCAAGTTTAGTTATCAGTCTGCGACCCCAGCGGAGTTCTGCTGGGCTCTTCCCAGTGGAAGTACAAGGTGTGGTGCAGTGTGCAAGAAGAAAATCTGCCAACCTGTGATGCCAGTCACTGTAAGTCAGTTTCTTGAGGGTGTCCTTGGTGGTGCGCACCATTCATTCAGCCATACCGTTGGTGGAAGGGTGGAAAGGGGCTGAAGTCACATGACAGATCATGTTGGCCTGCAGGAAAGCCTGGAACTCAGAAGAAGTGAATTGAGGACTGTTATCTGAAACCAGAACATCTGGAAGGCCGTGTACTGCAAAAATTCCTCTCAATACCTGGATGGTCCTGGCAGTAGTAATAGAGGAAACAGGAACAACTTCCAGCCACTTTGAATGGCTATTAACAAGGACCAAGAAGAATTGCCCCTGAAAGGGCCCAGCATAATCTATATGCATTCTGGACCAAGGTGAATGTGTTTCCTCCCACCTATGCACAGGGGCCTGAGGCATTTCTGGCCGTGAGCACTGGCACAAGTGACATCCGTGCACCTGGGCCTCCATATCCTTGTCTAACCCAGGCCACCATAGATGGCTGCACGCAAGTGCTTTCATCCTGACAATGCCAGGATGACCCTCATGCAGAGAGACCAAGATTCTAGGTCTCAGTGAGGTAGGAATAACTACTCTGCTGTCCCACAACAGGCAACCCTTAAAGGTGGATAACTCATACTTCTTGAGCCAGAAGCTTTGGAACTCAGCACCTGGACTTCTCTCAGGCCATCCAGACAAAACCCATGAAAGCACATGTGTAAGAGTGAGGTCTGTGGCTGTTTCTGCAGCCACATCCCTGGCATTTAGGGGAGATTCAGGCAACTCCTGAATGGAAAGAATATCGATGGCAGGAGCAGGGTCTGCTTTTACCAGTTTCAGAGTTAGTCTGCTTAGGCCATCAGTGTGGCCCATTTCCTTACCAGGTTTGTGAATCAAAGAATAATCATATGCTGACAGAAAATAGACCATCTCAGCATTCTAGGAGAAATAATATGAGGGGTTTGTTTGTTGTTGTAAACAACCCCAACAGGGGCTTATGGTCTGTGTAGACCGTGAAATGTCGGCCATATAAAAAATCATGGAATTTCTTAACTCCTGCTACTATGGCCAATGCTTCCCTGTCTATTTGAGCGTAATTATGCTCAGCAGAAGATAGAGTCCTGGAGTAATACGCTACAGGAACCTGAGTTCCATCAGTCCTCAAATGGCTAAGTACAGCTCCCACCCCGTAAGGAGATGCATCACAAGCGATGCAGACAGGCAATTTTTCATTGAAATGTGCAAGCGCATCATTGGAGGTAGGCAAGGCCTTGACCTCATTGAAGCTCTTTTTGTGGACTTTAGACCACTGCCAAACTGTCTGCTTGTCTATAAGCCTATGTAGTGGTTCTGCCACAGCAGCTTTGTGAGGTAGGAAAGCGTTGTAGAAATTCAAGAGACCTAGAAAAGCCTGCAGTTCACTTGGGGCTAGGAGCCTGCAGTATACCCTTCAATTTAGATGCAGCAGGGTGAATACCTTGGGCATCTATTCGAATCCCAAGAAATCTGTAGAAGTGACTCCTATCTTACACTTGTCTTTTTTTAATTTTAGGCCTGCTCTTTGGAAACGAAGCAAAACAGCCCTCAATCTCTCTGCTAAATTCTGAGTGGATTCTCCAGCAATAAGGACATCATCAAAATAGGGGCAAACTCCAGGGATACCCCTAAGTGTACTCTCCATGATACTTTGGAATATTTCAGGGGCTACATTTACTCCAAATTGCAGTCTCTTGACCTTGAATGCAACCCTATGAGTTACAATAGTCTGTGCTTCAGCAGCTGCTTCATCAACAGGTAACTGTTGATATGCCTGTGCCAGATCGAGCTTTGCAAAAACTCGCCCCCCTTTGAGGAAGGCCAATATATGTCTGACTACAGGTACGGGGTATGCGTGCTGTTGCAGTGCCTTGTTTAGTGTGCACTTGTAGTCTGCACATATGCGTATGTCCCCATTAGCCTTGAGAGGCGTGACTATGGGGGTTTCCCATGGACTTGAATCTACAGGTTCTGAAATACCTTGCTGGATCAATTTATTCAACTCAGCATCAATTTTACCTTTTAATGCAAAAGGTACTCTCCTAGCTTTAACCCTAATGGGTGTGATGGTGGGGTCAAGTCTCAAAGAAACTGGAGGCCCCTTGTAGAACCCAAACTGTGGACTAAACACATCTGCAAACTCCTCGCAAACTTCTGCTAGGCCCAATGTTTGCAAATTTTGCAGCCAGGTAACCTGGATTCCCAAGGCCTCAAACCAATCGAGTCCTATAAGACTCGTCCGTTCACCCCCAACAACCAACACATCCAATGGACCTTCAAAATCCTTGTGCTGCACTGTAAGGGTGGCCTCCCCCTTTACACACACCTTGGAATTTTGAAAATCTGTTAAGATTATGTTGGATGGCTTAAGTTTGGCCTGGAACCCACTGCTATTGCAAATCTTCCTAAATGTATGAATGGAAATAATTGAAAGAGTGGACCCAGTGTCCAGCTCCATGGCCAAAGGAACCCCTTGCAACCTCACCTTGAGTGACAGCTTCTTTTTAAGTGGTTTGTCTGTGCCTGTTCTGCAAATGCTTCTGCGCGATGCGCAGAAACCCACCCTATTTTGGCTGGGGACCCTGGTACCTTTCAGACGCAATTCTTCTCGAGATTGTGTCTTCTGACGACCCAGACAGACGGATGCTATGTGGCCTTGCCTTCCACACGCTCTGCAGATGGTGGAATGGAACCTGCAGTTGGCTCTCTTATGGCGACCTCCACACCCGAAGCATTTGGACGCAGCTGGAGCTTTTTCTTTGCTTTCCTTCTGTTTCCTTTCCGTGGACTGGTAAAGCCGATCCACCTCTTCTTCAGTATCTTTCTCCAATCCTTCTTGGACTCCCTCATGGTGCACGGAAACTGCTTCTGGACTGTTCCTGATGGGCCACATGTTCTTGACCACCCCACCTGCTGCCTCTTTAGCCATTACCTCTCTCAAAGCATCTTGAACGAAATATCTTCTTTTGCAAAGAGTCTCTGTTGCAAGTCTCTGTTCCTTAAACCGCATACAAAACGGTCTCTCAGCCTTTCTTCTAAATCTTTAAATTCACAGGGTTTGGCTGCTCTTCTCAAGGCTGCAATGAATTCCTTGGCTGATTCACCTGCTCTCTGATCCCTCTGTTCAAACGTGTGTCTCCACGCAATGACAGACATCTTGGGCTGGAAATGTTCTTTTAATAGCTTTTTTAAGTCTATATACGTTACAGACTCTAGAGGAGCAGGGGCCGCCAAATTTTCCGCAATTTCAAACGCGTCCTGATCACAGACACACAACAAAGTTGCGGCCTTCAAGCCATCTTCTCTAACTTGATCCACCCTGAAGTAATTTTCTACTCTGGCAACATAGGACTCCCATCTCTCTGGGTGAGCAACGTTGAATTCGGACAACCGTCCTATCTTCGCCATCCTTGCTTCTATGTTTAGGAAGGGGTCTATCAGCCAGCTTACCTCCAGTGACGCTGTACTGGCAGGCCAGATGCTGAATTTAACGCCGTCTTCCTTTCCTCAAGGACTCCTTGGGTAAGTCTTACAAGTTTTCTTCTTTTAGCTTGGAAGCCATCCCATCCTCGTCGCCAGTGTTAAGTCCTCAAGTTAATGGCGGAAGAAGGGCACGCATTCTGTATCCAACAACTGTTTATTCTTCTGCTGCTCACTCCAACACAACTCAGAGGCTCGCAGGCCTCTCTCACATTAAATAGATCCCCGGGCAAAAAGGTTACAATAGAAAATGGCGCGCTTTCGCGCCTTGCGCATGCGTGCAGGCTGGCACCGCTTAGTCTGGTCCCGGGCAGCTTGCAACAGCCCGGGACTATAGCAACATCCCGAGCCTGCTTTTGCAGGCTCAGAACACAACATCTCCCTCTCCTTCTTTCCTTCTTTCTTTTCTTCCTTCCTAAGTACAGAGTGGTGGGAAAATATTTGAGATGAGGGAGGGAGAAAAACAGGCAAGAAATGCAGCCAGGGCCAGGGCCAAGGCAGCGGGGCTCGTTCCCTCTGTTTCCAGGATGGCTTCGCGGACCACATGAAATCACTTCGCGGGCCACATCTGGCCCCTGAGCCTTGTGTTTGATATGTCTGCTCTAGGAACAAGTTAAACATCTAGAGTGGGGAGGATAATAAGTACAGAAGGGAAAGAATATACAGCTGTATCTAAAAAGGACTCACTTTGCCAAAGATATTCATTGCTCACTGAATTGTTGCAAATTTGATTGCCAGTTATTAAATCTGTTATTTTTAAAAGTTCTCCTTGCATTCCATTAAAAAGCACTTAAATTAATGTACCATTCAAATAGTTAAAACACTTTTATTTTTTTATATGGATAAACAGCCAAACGCTGATAAGCAACAGGCAAAACAACAGCTAAAAAAACTGGCTAGAAGATTTTTACATACTATTAATAGGGGCAACATGATAAATTTCGAACATCCTTGCACAAAAATAAACTCAGCTGGGGGACTCCATCACTCGAACTGCCTTTTCTTTGGAACTGAACTGCCTTTAAATACAGCTGTTTGGGTAAATTGATAAAAAACAGTGATGAGGATTTCAAATACATATCATTTGCACTGAAGTGAAACTTGGCTTTAGTTGTACTTTTTCTGCTCCTATTCAGGATGCTTCCATAAAGATTTCTGAAACAAACTTTCCAAGTCATGGTTTGATTTTACAGTATAACAGTTTTGGCATGTTTTCCTATTTGATCCAATGAAGAATGAAAGCTCAGCTCACAGCACTCCAAGAAAAGGATCAAAGAGAGAGAGAAGATGCTAATCAGAAGAATCGCCCTACAAATCAGCCAAGGGAAGATGGTACAGGGAGAACATCAGGGCCTTCTAAGTCTATTTACGGCTTGTTTGACAATGACGGGCGGCTAGATGTCTTTAATATGCGGAAGCTGGTCTATGAGAGAGGTAAAGTCAGAGTTTTATATTTGTCATTTCTGTGGTGAGAAGGTCCCAGTAGACACCAAAAAAGCAGAGCTGGTTCTGACCAATGTCAGCGGAAAGCTTTTCTTCTTTCTTTAGTGTGAGAGATAGGAGGGGAGGAATGATCCAATGAATCCAATATTACATACCGTAGTTGACCACAGATCTTAAAACAGAAGATTAAACTCAGGAAAGTGTGGGTGCCTCAGAGATATATCAAATCACAAATCCTTATTAGCTCTAATTAGCATGATGTGTTATGGAAATTTTAGTTCAAGGCATCTGGAGGACATCAGCTAAAACCCTCAATCTGATAGATATTAGAATAATTTACATCACTTTGTTGAAGTCAGGGGTGTTGCTATCATTATGGAGGGAGGGGAAACTAGAGCAGTCCTTCTTGGCCTTGCTTTACAAAGCATTGTGTGGGTTGGAACAGTATGCAAAAGAAGACCTTGCTTGAGACTAAAACAACAGGCAGTCGTTGCATCAAACTTCCCAGTTACACAGATAGTCTTTTACTTACAGCCATCCGTTTACTGACTATTCAAAGTTACAACAGCACTGAAAAAAGTGACCTATGACCATTTTCCACACTTACAACTGTGGCAGCATCCCAATGGTCACATGATCAACTGGTTGGCAACTGGTTCATATTTGTGATGGTTACGGTGTTCACGCAATTTTGTGACCTTCTGACAAGCAAAGTCAATGGGGGAAGCCAGATTCATTTAACAAGCATATTACTAACTTAACAACTGTAGTGATTCACTTAACAACTGTGACAAGAAAGGTCATAAAATGAGGCAAAACTCACAACGTCTTGCTTAGTAACCAAAACGTTGGGCTCAACTGTGTTTGTAAGTTGAGGAGTACTCTCAACCTCTGTTTCCATGGAAGAACTTTACCCAATTAGCTGCTGTCTAGGTGTGCTGGGACTAGGGTCACCCACGTTCGTAGCCAGTGTGGCCTAGGCATTTGGAGAGCTATAGCCCTTATGCATCCAGAGAGGATCCCTGGAAGAAGCCAACTGGAGTATTAGAGTCTAGAACTGGGCAGATAAAACACCTTGTAAGATATTTGCTGGTTCCTTAAAATGCTGCAGGCTATGCTAAGATTAGTTTGGAAAAAAACAGTATGAGCTAGCAAGCTGTTTCCTATTCTCAAGTGAGAAACCATGCTTAGCATACCTTGTATGATTATTCCTTGAATGCTAAATAACCCCTGAATAAGCAGTTTTGCTTTGTAATTTAAAATACATTCACAGACTACAGGGATTCCAACAGGAAAGCACGATCAAAGTCTAAAATCAGCTGTGATCCATAATTTTAGCTGGCTTTCAGAATTACAACCCAGATTGGGTATTTAGAAATGCAGAGAAAACTTCTCCGGTGTCAACTTGGTCATAAAAATAGCTGTGTTGCAAATGTCCAAGTGGCCATCAAAGGATGAGAAAGAAATACCAGCCCTTGCCTGAAATTCTGCAGTCAAGATAGAGCTATCAAAGATATATCCTTGTGCTTCCCTGCAGCAAAGGCTCTTGTATTTTGCTAGTTCAATCTGTAGCCCAGCTGCCCCAAGAACATCGGTAACACAATGACCAAATGTCCCCAACGTCATATATTTGGGTGGTGATCAACCTGTAATCACTCATACCCTGATATGTGACTTGATTTCTTTTGTCTAAACAAGTAGGTGGACGGGAGAACTAAGATCAATGTACCAGCAGGATGAATTTTCACAGATGGTAGAAATGAAGTCAAGGGTGTTGGAAACCAAATGTATTCGTTCCTGCAGAAAACAGATTTGTTTTCCAAGCAGAGGAAGCAGCAAAACAGAAAGGTTTTAAGCATAGTTTGGAAACTGTGTAATGAAGATGGGGCACAGATCTGGAATTAATGAAAAAGTTCTGTGCCAGGGTAATCTATTTGGCAGAAAGTCTCAGTACAAGCTGTGTAAACAGTATTTTGCAATTTCATCAGCTGAAGACAACTCTTTGAAACCAGCTTTCAAAGTATCGGATACTGCACCACATCCTCTGGCAGCTAGGAAGAGGGAAATTTGGAGCAAAAAGTACTCTGTTCTCCTTGGTTCCCCCTTCCCCCCCCCATCAGTATTTTTCAATATCTTCAGTAGGATGTGGGGCATAATTACAGTTAGTCTTTGACTTACAACAGTTCATTTAGTGGCTCTTCAAAGTTACAACGGCCATGAAAAAAGTGACTTATGACCATTTTTCACAGTTACAACCTTGGCAGCATCCCCCATGATCATGTCATCAAAATTCAGACACTTGGCAGCTGGCTCATACTTATGACCATTGATGTGTCCCAAGGTCATGTGATCACCTTTTGCCAAGCAAAGTCAATGGCAAATCCTGATTGACTTAACAACCGGGTTACTAACTTATCAACTGCAGTGATTCACTTAACAACTGTGGCAAGAAAGGTTGTAAAATTGGGCAAAACTCACTAAACAACTGTCTCACTTAACAACAGAATTTTTGGGCTCAGTTGTGGTCATAGGTCAAGGAATACCTGTACATGTCCCAGGGAATATCTGTCTGTCTGTCTATCTATCTATCTATCTATCTATCTATCTATCTATCTATCTATCTATCTATCTATCTATCTATCTATCTATCATCAATCTATCATCAATCTCTCAAGGAACACATCCCAGTGAAAGAAAAATCACCTGGAAGTTCCTATTTGGTGTGTACCCTGAGAAATCCACAACTGAAGAGAGGAAGGAGCTGGATCGGCAAATGGCTTCCCAGTATCAATGGATGAAGCATTCATGGAAACAGCGCTTCCCCTGGGCTGCCACCATGAGGACCCAGTGTGACTGTAAGTGCTGCTTCTCCAGTTAGTTTTATGTCCTCTTAGGTTCCTCCTACTGGGTGGAGAAACAGAGCTCCGCCTTTTAAAGGGCTCCTGCCCGGACAATGAAGTGATCCTACTGTTCCATTATGCCTGCAGTTGAACTTTCCTTGGCCATCCAGAAACACAATGAAGATCAGAGGGAAATGGAAGCAGCCAATCCACCTACAGATATCTACAGTGAGGTGAGGAATAAAGCAGAAAGCATGTTTCTTGAAAATAAGAGGAGCCACTAGAAAACTGGCTGTACACTGCCTTTTATAATTTTGTCTGTTGGTTTGGTCCATATCTCAGCTGCTTGCTGTTTTCTTTTTAAAGCTAGACATGTGCATATTTTCCACTTACCACTGAATGCCTATAACCAGTCAGCAGTCCTATACAATTAGAGGTTTCCATGCCAAATATTGATGAACTTGTCAATCAAGGCCAAATTCAGAGGCCAAGGTCTCTGAAAAGTCAAAGTTAGCATTTCTGAGGGGGGGGGGAGAAAAGTTCAGGAGTCATAAGAGCCAAGTTAGCCTACCCCTGTCCCAGATCTACACTACCCTTCCAAGAAAGCCACATGGATCCCCCCAGGGTCAGTTTTTAAAATGTTCACAAAGGACAAAAGCTCTGAAGTATTGGCAGTTCACTTCAGCATATAAAAGACCTCACTTTCTACCCCCAGACAAAAAAATGCATCTAATTTGCTGGGTAGTGTTACCCCTTTATAAGATCACCTTTCCCAGTCAAAAACTTTAGTTATGTTGGCTACGGCTTCCATAATCTCCAGCCAGAATGACCAACTTGGGGAGACTGATGAGAGTTACATCCATTGCATTAGTAAGCCATCTGGCTGAGAAATCTTTGCCTAACAATAAGGAATCCTTAAAATGCAAAGAGGTTAATATGCACTTATCCCCTCATTATTACTTGTGGTAACCAAAACAAATGCATGACTTGCTTTAAATCTTTCCAAAATCCCCACCAGGCAAGTCTTCAGTGTTTGTTTGTGATGTTTTATGTGTGAGAATGAATGGACGTATATAGGTGGTCCTTGACCTACAACTACAACTGACCCTAAAATTTATGTTGCTAAGTGAGAAATTTGTTAAGTGAACTTTGCCCCATTTTATAACTTTTCTGGCCACAGTTCCAGTGGTGGGATTCAGCCAGTTCGCACCACTTCGGCAGAACTGGTAGCTAATTTTTTGTTGCCCAGGCCCAGAATGGACTTCCGGAAGCGGCATCCATACAGAGAACCGGTTGTTTACCTATTTGAATGCCACCACTGCACAGTTCTTAAGTGAATCACTATAATTGTTAAGTTAGTAATGTGATTGTTAAGCGAATCTGGCTTCTCCATTAGATTTGCTTATCAGAAGCTTGCAAAGGTTGATCCCATCACCCTGGGACATTGCAAACGTCATAAAACGAGTCAGCTGCCAAGCGTCTGAATTTTGATCACTGTGACTATAAGGATGCTGCAACGGTTGTAAGTGTGAAAAACGGTCATAAGTCACTTTTTTCAGTATTCTTGTAACTTTGAATGGTCACTAAACTAACTGTTGTTAAGTCAAGGACTACCTGTAGATACACCTGTGGCCTTTATGCTTTTTTTTTATGTCTGAATGGATGTATATGAATCAGTGTGGAGTTTGTTTGGCAGCAAGAATGAGAATAGGTGATGGTCAAGGGGCAAAAGTTTTGCAACCTCGTAAAGGTTAAGCATAAGAGAATGGGCACAAAAACCATCCCATTTGCATGAAACATAAAAACATGGGAGGTTAATTTAGCTCATTTTGTCCACTGTTGTTGATACCAACTGAGAGATGGTCTCCCAGTCAGGATGTTACCTACTGATAATGCTGGGTTTGAACCTAAGGTTTGCAATGCGTGTGCTCAGTCACTAAGCCTAAACTAATATTCTGTCTTTCCCCAGAATAGTGCATCCTTCCAATACGTTAATGAACAACAGTTCCAAAAGGCACTGAGAGACATTGATGCTGACATTCCCCGGACTGACCGACACCGGACTTTCTTCCAGTGAGAACATCTCCTTCCTCAGCCGCAGCTAAGCTAAAACAGAAAGCTGTTTGCCAGGCCCATTTTGCAAACTCTCCGTTTTCAGGCTGAGTTGCTATTTGAAAATACCCAGCCTGTTTTGCCAGACCCAGACAAGAAGAACATTTATAAACAACTGGTGAATTGAATAACTGACAGGTTTCATTGGGCTTGACAGATCAAAATTTGTGCAGGGTTAAGTGGGAATATCTATCAAATCCTACTTGATTAAAATATGGGCATATCAGAAACACAAAAGCATTATCTTGAAGAATATTTGCATTTTTACTGCAAACTGATTTGATTACCTATCCCTTTCAGAAAATGCAGAATCTTTTTACTGTGCTTTTATTTGCTGAAATTTATCCTGCATTCTACTTTGGAGAAAACAAAATTACTCAAAACTGAAGTCTTACAGCCAAGACAGATTCAGTATAGGTGATCTAAAGTCGTATTTCCTGACCGTGTTTTTTTTTTTAATTAAAAGCAATTATAGTGTGATCTACTCTTGCTCATGGCAGGGTATCTAGAGATAATCGGATGCTTAATTTTCCTACTCCTGTACCTTCTAATATAGTTACTAGTTTTCTGAATAGAGGCCACTTAAAAGAGTTAAACACCCCTGCCTTAAACAACCACTGCTTTAATCAAATTGGTTTTCCTGGTCTCCAAAATGCTTTATTGCTTTTTTAAAGGACAGCCTCAGTTTATCTGTGCCAAAAACTACCACAACAAAACAAGGACAAGCTTGAAGTTGCTTAGTTACCTTCCGGCAGAATCCTGAGCAAACGTTGATTTATATTTCTACTTAGATTCTAAGTATTATTTATACATGTATGCAGAAACACACATGCCCACTGTATAATCTGCAAACTCTGTGCAAACCCATGTCTTTTCTTATTTGGAGATGAATGATCTGTCCCTGCCACTGTAGCTAGCACCTGTGACTTTCCCCTCTCTCTTTACAGACGTGAAGGGCTAGTGAAGCTGCTTTACCTCCGAGATATTCTCATCACGTTTGCAGCCTTTCACCAAGGTGAGGAAACCACGGCACAATGTACTTCCAGGAACTGCAGCTGGCAGCATCAGTTTGCGGCCTATTTTTTCCCTATTCTCTCCACCCACCTCCCCCTCTTTCTATTCCTGACACATAACAGTTCCACCATTCATCATTTATATGGGCCTCTCAATGTGCCAAATACTTTCCAGTTCAAAGTATTTTTCAAATAGATGCAGGCAAGGCTTTTCTTAAGGAGGTCTAAAGAAGGAACAGATCTGTCCTCCAGAGGTATCTGCTGAATATTGTGCTAAACATTCCCATATTTCACACAGAGCTGGCTAGATGTTGCATAATGCAGGATGCGCAAAAGCCTATCTCTGTCTCTCCCCACGCAGGGCTGGCTCCATCACTGAGCAGAGTGTGCCAGCCACCTTAGGCTACACGTGCTTGTAGAGTAAGCAAGGCAATCTATGCATGCTTTCTAAAATGCAGTAGCTGCGGCTCTCAGTGCTGGGAAGGACACCAATCTAATCAGCTAATCCGTTAATGTACTGGTTAAATTTGGGTAGGTGGGTGGGTGGGCCTCAAGCAGCAAATTGTCTTAGGCTAGCTCTATTCCCTACCCATAAACTTCTGAAGCAGTTGCTTCATTTCTGTTCTTTCCTCTTAGATCAAGGGGGGGGGCAACCTTGACCATTTTAACACCTGTGGAACCAGGGGAAAGGCTGGCCATAAAGAAAGAAGGTGATGTCAGGCCCCAAGAAAGGCACATAAAATTACTTCTGAGCAGTTTCCTTTATTGCACTTCACCTGTAGACAAAAATCTTGCCAAATTAAAAGCAATTATTTGCCACATTAAAGATATACTCAAAATGAGTAGGGAGGAGGAGCCTTCATTTTCTTTCTCCCAACCAAACTATCTAAACTTCACTGTCTCTTTGCCCTCTGAAATGCAGCCCCTCCCTTCTGGGAATCCAGACTACATTTCACCACAGGTAAGGATACTCTGGAATCAAGTTCAACTTTTGGTGACTGCCTTTGTGCACATTTCACGGCTGTGTTATGTAACTGCTTTGCCATCACCCTCTTCCCAGATGTTTTTCCATTTCTCAGTCTAGCCAATGACAGCGGAATTCCACAGTGGCTCCCTGCTTAGCTTTCCAAAGCTACAAAGTGGTCTGAAGCTAAATTCTGAATGAGTGGTCATGAATATTCCTTCCCCTTCTTCCCTCTTTCTGCTTTGTTCTCTCCTAATTCTTAGAGATTGGATACTGCCGGGGGATGCATTACTTTGCTAGCCGCTTCTTAGAGACCCTGGACAGTGAGACAGAGGCATTTTGGTGCTTTGTAGGATACATGCGACGGTCTGCATGGGGCTTCACCACCACGGGTGTCCGTCGGAAGATACGTGAGTGGATGGAAAATAGAGGGGTGGAAACAGATGTAACCTTTACAAAGCAGCTTTACTGATTGGAAACACTCTGGCTGATGCAATCACTATGCCTTCTCTTCAGCAAAACATTCAAGGGAAGGAGAGGAGGATGCTTCTTGCAAGTTTGCAGAAGAAATGAATTGTGGAAAATGGCCATTGGCTGATATTTTGGCTGCAAAACCACCTAGGAAACTTCCCCACTGAAGAGTTAAAATGCTCTTTATCTATTCTGGAATATTGGCTTAAGATGATAACAGGGTAAAACGTGTTGTCCCTCTTGCCATTCCCTATCCTGCTCAGTCATTACATTCACAAAACTTCTCTTTATGAGTGGAGACGCCTAACAGATTTCATTCATCCTAGGCTGCCCCGAGACAGTGTCAAAATTAAAGGGAAAATACAACTCCTATAATGCATGGCTAAGGGTGATTTAAGGTCTTGATATTGATAGCAATATCATGGGGGGGCACAAGAGACAAAGGGTGTTGCCAGGGCTTGTCTGTGCTGTGATTAAGTGAGGAGAGGCCCTAAGACAGGGGTAGGCAACCTTGGTTCTTTTATGACTCATGGACTTCAACTCCCAGAATTCCTGAGCCAGCATGGCTCAGCATGGAAACCTCTCTCTTTCCCCTCAGCATGGCTGACTCAGGAATTCTGGGAGGTGAAGTCCACGAGTCATAAAAGAGCCAAGGTTGCCTACCCCTGCCCTAAGACTTGTCATTGCAAGTCTCAAAATAGGTTTCTTTTTTAAAAACCAAAAGTGAGCACACAAAGAAATCAACATCTATGTGTTGTGGGGGAAAAAATGCATAGCTATGTATACTAAGCCAACCCTGGTAGGTCGTATCTGTATCATCAAAATGAAAAGAAAGACATTTTCACAATGGGAGCAAAAAAACCCACAATCCCTGGTCTAGCCTTGTTTTAACTATAGCTGCCTTTGAGAAGGCAAGAGAAAATCAAGCAGGTAATTTTTGAGCAGGTGGAAGAGAGATTACAAGAGAGAGTGGGAAAGATTATTAGATGTTGAGACACTGGCTGCAGGCATTGACTTGCAATGTATGTTCAGCTTTGGAAAGATAAAATGGTATCTCAGGCAAGGTTGTGTGAATTTAACGATTTAAAAAAAAATCTGTGTCAAGAAAATATGAGCTTTGCAACCTGTATAAGTGAACAGACATGCCAAAGGGCTAATGTTTGTTAATGTGTGCCACCTGCCAAGCCTGAATCTCCAATGGAAAAGCAATGGTCAAGAAGCATTGTCCTGGCACAACTGGGCAAGCAAACCCCCTTTACCTGAAGTGTGAGAAATGTAGGCCAATCGGGGTCTTTGTGAGCAACACTCCAGTTCTGAGCCTTCTCTGGGCAGAGAGGTGACATCGAGTCATGCTGAAAAAAAGGATGATCCTCTCTTGTCGTGTCCATACAGAAATCTGCGAGGAACTTCTGAAGCACGTGGACCCCGAGCTCTATGATCACATTGAGAACGTCTCCAAGGAAAAGCTGCTCTTCTGCCTCAGGTAAACATCCATTTCCTTCCATCTGGTATAGCAGGAGCTGACAAACTGCCCTCCACCTGCTTGTAGGGTAGCATTCCCCCCAGTCTTGCGTCTCCAGAAGGCCTATCTACTATTCTCATCATCTCTGGGACTGCCTATGCTAGCAGGATGCAGGATGCAGAAGGTTGCAGCTAGAGGTCACCAAATTTGGCAGCAGAGAAGTTGTAATCTATAACTTGCCTACATGCAATTTAAACAATATATATACAATATATACACACAATATATATACACAACATATATATGCCATATATGTATGTATGTACTGTATGTATGTATGTATGCATGTATGTATGTAACAAAAGTTCTAATTGACACTTCTGGAAGGGAAGGATTTGCACTGAGGAGGTACCTGTCAGTCTTTTTTATTTGGAAGGTACAGTAAAGCATCGCTCAAAAAGTCATTTATTGCTTGCTTAGCAGTGATACTATCAACCTAACAAGGTACATCAGACCAGGAAGTCAATGCCACACAGGTCAAGGAATGCATTCAGAATTTTGCAAGCCTGAACATGTTTCCCCTTCCCACCCTTTATCTCCATGTGAGCTAGGGAGGGGCTTTGTCTGAGATGTTTTCTCAAGTTACTTTTTGGATTTGGGCTCAGACCCTGTTTATCTCACTGTTGCCTTGGTAGCAGCTCTTCCTCTGTCCTCCAAGGCCATTCCTTCTGTCCTCTACAGATACAAAAGTGATTTGCCTCTGCTTCACTCTGAGATATGTAAGAGATGACCAGGCTGAGCCGTGGGGAGGGGTCAAATGCATCGTCAGTCATGAGTCCCTGCGTGCCCAAAAGAGATCTAAGTTCAACCCACCCTGAATTTCTGTGACTCTTATCTATTATCAATTTGCCTGGACCGTTAGTAGTTCAGATTCTTGTAGAGAGCTTAAACTTGTAATAAATATTAATACTCATTTGAACTGGATCTCCTGATTTTCCCAGTACTTGACAGGATATTTTTAACTCCTGTGTAGCCAATAGCCCTGGATTTCCTGGTGGTCTCCTTTCTGAATATGAAGGCAGGCTTAAATTTGCTTCCTGATATTAGACGTGGTTACCTAGTTGCCACCATCTGCTGTAAGACAGCTCATCTGTGTTTCTTAATGCCATAAAAGGCAGATGCCAGCAACTGAGCAGGGTAGAGGTACTATTAGGGCTAGACCACTAGGTATAAATACAAGTTCCCAGGTCCCACACTGCGGAAGGCTCCTAAATCTATTTATTTATTTTTATTTTATTAAATTTATTGACCGCCTATCTTACCAGAAGGTAACTCAGAGCAGTTTATAGTAAAATAAAATCTAGCATGCAGGCTTCTTCTAAACAAATTTAGACGAAGTCCTGTCCTATGTGTTTGCTTTTCCCACAATTGGCCCCTTGGCTTACACACACACACACACACACACACACACACACACACACACACACACACGTCCTTTCTTGCTCTCTCGCTCTTTCTTTCCCATCTGAGTTATACAGTGGGAGGAACATGCTTTGGTCATTCTTTTCACCTATTTAAAATCCTGAAAAACGTTTAATTACAAAAAAGTAACTTTGTTTAAAAAAAAGCATCGCAGAGATAAGCAGCTGTGCAGCCACTATCTTGATTTTTCACATGGAAGATATTAGAACAGAAAGCAGGGGGTGGGGGTGGGGGTGGGGGTCTGGGGAAATGTCTCTGCTGCTTCCTGGCAAAGCAGGATGATCAAAAGGAGCGTGATTGGGGGTGGGGGGGAGAGGGCGGAGTAGAAAAAAAGAAACTGGAGGAGGAAGAAGTATCCAAAATTCCAACAGTTGGGTGTAAGGACCCCCTAATGGGCACCTGGCCTGAGTCTCTTTTAATCAGGCAGAACTACTCTCGTTTGCAAACAGAGGCCTTGGCTCCGTTTGCACGTAAGAATAGCATATCCCAGAAACATTGGTTTGCTGCTGCAGCCCTCATGAGATGGCTTAACCCATTCCAGCCTTAAATTGCCTTCACTGGTCCAGTAAGGGTAGTCCTTGACTTACACCCATTCGTTTAGTGACCGCCCAAAGTTACAACAGCACCGGGGAAAAGTGACTTGCAGCTGTCCTCACACTTACAAGGGATGTAGCATTCGTCACAAATAATTAGGTCCTAGACATGAAAGCCTTGCCCTCTCATTTCAGATCTGACAATTAAACAGTGGAAGAAATACAGTCTGTCCATCCTGAGAGACCTCTTACCTTCTTTGGAACATAATATTCAAAATAAATGCTTGGGTCAAACCCAGCAAGCTTTTCGCAGCAGACATGATTGGCTGAGAAAGCATCTATAGATGGGAAAGTGGGTTGGGGTCTTGGTCAAGGGAGAGGTTAGGACGGCAAGCTCTTTTTCTCGGCTTCTGCCACAGCTCTCCTACCTCCATCTCAGGTGGCTGCTGCTGCTTTTCCAGAAGGACTTAGAACACTCAGATGCTGTGAGAGTCTTGGAAATCAGCGCTTTGGAGTCTGGAAAGATGAACTTTGGTGCCTGGATATGGCGGACACGCAGGGAAGGTGAGCACTTCTCCATGCGGAAGAGAGATCCACATCATCTCAAGCTAGAGCTACCCTAAAGAGCCTGGGTGGTGCAGTGGTTAGAATGCAGTATTCCAGGCAAACTCTGCTCACAGCCAGGAGTTTGATCCTGGCAAGGCTCACGGTTGAGTCAGCCTTCCATCCTTTCCAGGCTGGTAAAAGGAGGATTGTTGGGAGCAATATGCTGAGATTGTACATCGCTCAGAGAGTGCTGTAGTGTAAAGCACTATGGAGCAGTATATAAGTCTAAGTATTATTGCTATTGTTAAATGCTCAGCAACAGGAGCTGAGCTCTCAGATGCCGTTCCAGGAAGCCCAAAGGCACAAAATTAAGTAAGAGGTAAGAGCCTTTGATAGGTTAGGCTGCAAAGAGCCTAAAGAATAAACTATCGCCCTAAGCTGCAATTGCTTATCAAAATTCATCATAGGTAAGTCCTCAACGTACACCTATAATTGAGCCCAGAATTATGGTTGTAAGTCATTGCAGAAGTAAGTCAAGACATCATGTGGATTAGATTCAAAGTTAAAGTGTTTTTTATTATGGTTAAGAAAATGAAAAGAAAACTTGAAAATGTAGTCTAACACACCTGGAGCTCCAGGTTAGGGAGGGCTGATTTGGGACATAATTCAAACATACAGCAGAAAGAAGTGGTGGATCCTTCACGTTCTCAAATTTTAGATGGGAGGGATCATTTTGTAAAAGATAAGAAATGAAGCTTCAAGTTCAAGTCAAAAGATTTGAAGATAAGATTCTTTTAAACCAAGCTTATCCTTAACACTGCTGATACTCCAAGTCGCAAAGAGCTGCTTATGTGCAGGATCATATGTGATACTGGAATGGCATAGACAGGCCACTGTTGTTTTAGCACAAGAGAAAATGTAAGTGGGTTTAGGTCCCACTTATGAGGCCCTCTCACTAGGTAGGACAAGGCAGCTGACTTATAGCAGGACATTTGAGTAAATCCTTAATAGGCAACTCTTATTAATTGTGCTTAAAACATATAAAACCTTTATTTATTTAATTATTTATATAATTTTTAATTTAATGTTTGTTTGTTTGTTTGTTTGTTTAAAGGTCTGTGGAGATTCTCAGCCAGTCATCCAGGCCATGGTTGTTCCAAAGGTGCTTTTTCAAAAGGCAACTGGCCTTCCTTTGTTTTTCCTTGGAGACATTTCACTTCCCATCCAAGAGAACTGAAGAAGCTTCTTGGATGAGAAGTAAAATGTCTTCAAGGGAAAAGAAAGTCCAGATGCCTTTGAAAAAAAGCACCTTTGGGACTTTATTTAAAAGATAGTTTGACCTTCTTTTCAGAGCATGGTTAGTATAGTATTATACTATATTATAGTATATGCCCTAAATATAGTATAGTATACTATAATAGTATATTACACTATAGTATATAGTATACTATATTCAGGGCATAGTTAGTAACAGGCACTCTGTGACATTCAAGTTTTTAGATTTTTGTATGGATAAATCATGTGCCACAAAGACACATAGAAATTTTATTCCCATCTTTGTAATTGGATTATGTATTATGATTGATCAAAGGAATTGATGATAGCTTTCACATCAAACATAACACATAATAATCTCAGATTAAAAAATACCCAAAATGCCCCTATCATTTTGATGACATTTTGATTTTCTGCCTTCAACTAGCTATCTTGGTAAGTAAAAATTGCCTTTGAGTCCACATATGTAGATTTGGGAGCAGGATATTGGTTCCTACTAAATGTTGTAGAACTTTTGCTTTAGCTCTAGAAGCAGACAGAACGTTGCTAGTTTCCTCAAAGGAAAGGTGACCAAGAAACGAAAACCCAGATCCCACTCTTCCCCACTCCCGTGATTGCTACCCACATCTCTTCCTTCCAGATGTCTTCCAAAACTGATCTTAAATCAGGCTCGGTTCAGGAGAAGGTCTTGTCAAACTCATCCTGTTCTCTGTTCATAGGTGTGGCGGCACCAGCTCCTATCACCTCCGTGGATCGGGATGAGATTACGTTTGAAGTGTTACTTTGCATTGCAGTCCTAATCCAGAACCGGAAGCAGCTGCTTCAATACCAGGATGTCAATGACTTTTTCCTATTCACACAAAGGTAGGCAAGTGGCCTGAAAGGGCAGGGTTTCCCCCCCCCCCAACGGATTCGATTTCCTCCAATCAAATTAAAGTTCAGGACCCCTTTTTTGTGCAAAAGGGAAAGTTCGCCAATGCATTTTGGGAGATGTGTAATGCAGAAATCCAGTCCTTATTGGGCCCTTTTGGTGGTGTTTGCAGAAAGTTGAGTACCCCATGCACATTGTGTCAATCACCTACACAACAGTCCTTTAAATAAGGCCAGTGTTACATCCCTTACTCAGACATATCACATTCCAGAATCAGGGTTGACTCCAGCTTTAGCAGCTTCCTAGAGTCACCAAAGTGGTTGTGGTTAGAGTAAATGGGCAGGTGACTCAGGATGCAGGAAGTCCATTTCAAACCATTTCCATTTAAAATCAAAATGAGCAGTCTATGGTCTTGAGCCCATTGTTTATGCGCTGCCATCCCCCACCCCTCGGACATCCTCTCTTATCAGTTACTGCTAAAAATGAACCAGGTGGTTTCCTGCCATTCTGCAGAAAGAGGCACAACCTGTAAGACTCTCCCCAAATAAAGGCATCCCTTAAAAGCCAGGTGCTGTTGTGTAATGGCCCAGGGCAAATCATGCTCACACCAGATCCCATCAGCTGACAAAACTCTTCCATAACCCATCCCTTCTCAGATCTGATCATCTGCTTCCTTCTTTACCTGTGGAACAGCACAACTGGAACATTTTCAAAGAGGAGGGGACAGATGACCAGACCAGACCAGACCAGAAATGAGCTGTTTGGATGGGACATATAAAGCTCAGTACAGTATTAGCCGACAAAGGGAATTGATGTTGATCTTGATGTCACATGGATATCTTGCTTTGGGATCGGATGGCGCTTCCACCTTGTAAGAGCTTGGCTGCAGCTTAGTTTAGGGCAAGGGTCTTCAAACCTGGCCCTTTTATGACTTGTGAACTTCAACTCCCAGAATTCCTCAGCCAGGCACACTGGCTGAGGAATTCTGGGAGTTGAAGTCCACAAATCATAAAAGGGCCAAATTTGAAGACATGTGATTTAGGGCCTGCTTCCAAATAAATCCAGCCAAGGGCACCAGGGGCAAACACAGAAGTCTGGCTAGATGGATCCAGCATTCTGGGAATGCAATAACTATACCGTTCCCTGCAAGGGATGTGATGCAGAATTTTCCTCCACTGTGACCAATGTTGCTTCAATATTCTCACAGGATGCAAGGCAGACTTCAGCTGAACATGCTGCATGGGGATGAGCGGCCATGAACGTCGTGTGCCAGGAAAGCAGGGCTCTGTTCTAGACGCTGACAAGAACATCCTGGTGGGGGGGGTAGGGAAATGAGCTTGAGCACCCTCTGCTGGACGAAATGAGATAACAGCTTCTTGAGAACTACTTCCAATTGAAGTTATAAAACGTAACAAGTTAATATTTTGTCTAGGCCTCTTAATAAGTGAACAAAGAACTTCAGACATCTTTTCACATAAAAATCTGTACCTTACAACACAGTTGGCCCACAGCACAATTTTTATTTGGAGGGATCTCACAGAATTTTCAGCATCTTCAGTGAAATGCAGATTCCAGGCTGCTTTGCAAAAAAAAAGCAAGTTACTTAGTTGTGTTGATATTCAGAATAGAGCTGGAAGGGACCTTGGAGGTCTTCTAGTCCAACCCCCTGCTCAAGCAGAAGATCCTATACAATTTGAGATAAGTGATTGTCCAGTCTCTTCTTAAAAACCTCCAGTGATGAAGCACCTACAATTTCTGAAGACAAGCTGTTCCACTGGTCAATTGTCCTCCCTGTTAGAAAGTTTCTCCTTAATTCCAGGTTGCTTCTTTCCTTGATAGTTTCCATCCATTGTTTCTTGTCTTGCCTTCTGGTGCTTTGGAAAATAAGTTGACTCCCTCAAATACTGGAATACTGCTATCATGTCACCCCTAGTCTAGATTATTATATGCTCAAAATATCTGAGAACGGATTGCTTATGCATGTTGGAGGAAGGTAGGATGTAGTCAGTTTACTTTGTATTGTGCCATAAATGTGCCTTTAGTTGCAAGAAAGATTTTGCTGGTCTATTAGCTACAAAGGGAAAAATACCTCTGGAACTGTTGGACAACCAAGTTCAGGGATAAAAATGGAAACAAAAACAGAAGATTTGGGACCAAATTAAATTAATGTGCCAGGAGATCTGAGATTAGATTATTTTACCATTTAAAAATGTCCCCACTAAACTGACAATTATTGAAAATGAAAAAACGTATGTCAAATACATTGACATTCTCCAATTCTGCCACACTGGTATTAGTTCATAATTCAGCAATTCAATGTTTTAAACTGAGTTGATACATCTTAATATTTGTGGCAGACAACAAATAAAAGATACCAGAAGCTTCAGCTTTTCAAGTATGGTGTACCACAGCACCTCCGCTATCATCAACTGACAAACCCTAAAATCCAAGTGCAGGTTTTTAAAAATACAGGCCTAAAGTATTTGCAAAATGACCAGGATAGAGATACAATCAGCAGGAATGACCTGCATTTGTTAAGAGCACATTTGCTGTGCTTTAGGTGCCTTTTCTTACAAATGTCTAACTATCCAGAAGTGACAAGGCCCCAGGGGTCAGCAGCCTGTTGCTAATTGCCTGAGGACCCCTTCCTCTCAGACTTCTTGTCCCACCTGAATCTTTTAAAAGATGCTTTTCATTTTTTTTTTAAAGTGTGATGTAGGTATGCTGAAAAACATTTGTCTTCGGCATTAATTTTATTTCAAAGAATGGTTGTAAATCTCATATCCGAGCAGACAAGCTTAGAAAATAACAGTGTTGAATGTCTGGAATCCAGTGCTTTGCTGGAAAGTGTGTCTGGTGAAGAAAAGGGGGGGGGCAAGGAAGGAGAGCTAAGATGATAGAGATCGTCTGGGGGCTGGAAGTCACAGCAGAGAGCAACTTCATCTGCTAAAAGGTGATTTTGAAACTTCCCACAATTATAGGAGCCATTGTAATGGTTAAGGCACCAGGCTAGAAACCAGAAGATTGAGAGTTCTAATCCTGCCTTAGGCCTAAAGCCAGCTGGATGACCTTGGGCTAGTCATTCTCTCTCAGGTCTGGGAAGCAGGCAATGGCAAATGTCTGAAAAACCTTGCTAAGAAAACTTGCAGGGACCAGGCAGTCTCCCAAGAATGCACATGATTGAATAGGGGGGAAAAGCATTAATGAAATACAGCAGAAAAAGATTAAAAGAATATTCTTATAGCTTAAAAGAGTTTAAAAGAGGATTTAAAATCACAGGCTACAAGAATGATATGGGGAAAACGTGCTACACTGGATATACAAAAGAAACTGGCTGATTCCTTAATAATTAAAAGGGATATACAAATACCAAACCAAGACTGTGACCTGGATAATTTTCCTATATTGAATTTATAAAAGAGGGTTGTTAAAGCTTTGAAGATTTTTGTTAAAAGGTACAAGAAAAAAAAAAGAAAACAAATTAAGTTCTAGGACAGGGGTCCCCAACCCCTGGTCCATGGACTAGTACCGGGCCGCGGCATGCCAGCAGCTGGTCCACACAAACAAGCAAAGCCCCATCTGCGGGATGCAAGCAGCACACAAAACCACACACCCTCCAATCTGCGGTAAAACCTCTATCCATGAAACCGGTCCCTGGTGCCCAAAACATTGGGGATCTCTGCTCTAGGGCATTATTTGAAAAGACTAAAGATCAAGATTGTTAAAAGTAAAAGGAAGGAATATAAAGTTAATTTATTTGATCTAAGTTAAAATAAACATTATTATCTCAGGGCTTCTCCTGGTCAGGGCTGAAACGATGAAGCTTTAAAGATTTGATTACAGATAAGAGATGAAAGAAGAGATCATTTGTTGCATTTTAAGACAAGTTGTTAAAATTGTTTATACTTGTGATGAAGGGGAAAGTCATACATATTTCTTTTTTTTTCTTTATTGAATTCTTATTTTTATTTTCTATTTTTCTTTCCCTTTTTCTTTTTTGCATTGTCTATTTTTCTTTTTATTCTCCTATTTTTTTAGTTTTCATTCATTTTCACATTTGTAATTATAATTTTTAATAAAAATTACTATTAAAAAAATAAAACATTCCTGGTCTAGACTATTTAAGATTGCAAGTTTGAATGTTTGGCTGCAGGTAGGGAAGACGCTCTTCCCATTCCTGTGGATGCTATGGACGTGGACATGGGTGTTCTATTAATTTCATTCATTCATTCGATTTATGTAGCTAATTAATGTGCAGAGAGCATTCAGGCATGAAAACTCTGATCTGCAGTTTGAAAATGGTACAATCAAGGAGCAGCTTACTAGATTTTGAGTTGTTATTTTTTTTAAATACCAGAAATGTTAAGGATTAAGTGATTTCTAAATACCTGTGTTTTGTTGATGCATTTTGTATAATGTGTAAACATTCCTGAATAATCATATAGATTATACATTGAGATACAGGTAGCCCTCAACTTACAACAATTCATTTACCGACCATTCGAAGTTACAACGGCACTAAAAAAGTGACATATGACCATTTTTCACACGGCAGCATCCCCATAGTCACATGATCAAAAGTTGGATGCCTGGCAACTGTTAGATTAGATTTAGATAAACTTTATTGTCATTTTTTTTACTGTGGGCACAACAGCACACATTAAAAGTGAAATTTAGTTGCTTGCTGTTTCATATTTATGATGGTTGTAGTGCCCCAGGGTGATGCACCCTTCTGACAAGCAAAGTCAATGGGGGAAAGCCAGATTCACTTAATTCCCGTGTTACTAACTTAACAACTGCAGTGATTTGCTTAACAACTCTGGCAAGAAAGGTCATTAAAATGGGACAAAATTCACTTAACATCTGTTTCACTTAACAGAAAAACTTTGGGGCTCAATTGTGGTCATAAGTCAAGGACTATCTGTATTTGTTCAACAATTTGTGTTGCTATTGTTATCATCATCATTATTGTGTGTGCTCTGGGATTCTGGCCTTTCCCCTTCCTAATGCCTTATAGATGTGTTAAAAAGCAGCTCCTTTCATCTCCAACCCGCCTCTCCAGGCACTTGCATCTCTATGGCTCCCAGGCCAGATAACCCTCAAAGGAGGGAAATGGAGTTGTAATACCAGCACATCTCCCAACTCTGTAGGCTCAAGACTCCATTTTCCTTCTCTCCAAACCTCTTTTCACTTTTCGTATTCTATCATGCAGTTTGCTAAAACCCCACCTATTTTCATTCTGCCTGAAATGGGTTTCAGTATAGATAATAGAAACAGCATGGAAATATTAGAGGTGCAAAGAAAGGGAGAGAAAAAAAATTAGATATGCATTCCACAGCTGGAAAGTGTTTTGATGGAGCAATTGGAGTGATTCGTCTGAAACAGACTTGCATGTACAGGTAGTCCTTGACTTACAACAGTTTACAGGTTACAACATTTAGTGGCCATTGAAAGTTATAATAGCACTGAAAAAAGTGACTTATGACCATTTTTTCACATGACTGTTGCAACATCCTCATGGTCATGTGATCAGAATTCAGATGCTTGACAACTGACTCATATTTATGATGGTTGCAGTGTCCCGGGGTCATGTGATCCCCTTTTGCAACCATCTGACAAGCAAAGTCAATGGGGAAACCAGATTCACTTAACAACCGTGTGACTAACTTTACAATTGCAGTGATTCACTTAACAATTGTAGCAAAAAGGTCATAAAATGGGGCAAAATTCAGTTAACAACTGTCTCAAATAAGTCAAGGACTATCTGTATATGATCAAGACAATGTGCCAGTCTTGCTGTTGAAGAAGGATAATTTGAAAATATATCAAGAACTCTCCATCGCTATCCATGTGTGAATACCAATGAATCATTAGATCCTCTGTTTTCATGTTACGTTTTTAACATAAAATGGACACTACAAGGTAAATCTTCCCAATCATTTTTACATAACTACCTTGTTTTTCAAAATACTTTGCCTGTCTTCCCTCACTAGGCCGGTTTGCTGTTTTATGTCTCACAAACCAGAAAAGTTTCTTTAATCCCATGGGCGAGATCAGTACAGTACCACTTTTTACTTCAAGGAAAAACAAAAAGTCAAAGAAATTATTGGTCCATTAGTGGGAGAAAGTGGCAAGGAGGTGACAAGCAACAGGGAGAAAGCAGAACTACTTACGGTAACTCGCTTTTTGTATCCATCTTTACACAAAGGGAAAAAACAGTCCAACCTATCAAAAACAATACTGTAAAAAGCAGATTAGAAACACAAGTTAAGATAGGCAAGAAAATGGTAAGTGAACACCTGTCCAGCCTAGATGAGTCCAAATCACCAGGACCAGATGGACTACACCCCAAGGTTCTGAAGGAACTGGTAGATGTGATCTCAGAACCACTGAACTATATCTTTCAAAGATCCTGGAGCACCGGGGAACTACCAGAGGACTGGAAAAGAGCTGATGTAGTTCCCATCTTCAAAAAAAAAAGGGGGGGGGGGAATAGATCC